GTTTTTTTTTTTTTAAAAAAGGATTTCTTTTTTTTTTTTTTTTTTTTTTTTTTTTTTCTTCCTTCCAAAACAGTGAATGAAAAATATGGGCTGCTGTTTTCCTGAGGAAGAATATACAAAGGGTTTTTTTTAGTACAGTGAGAGAGACTGAGAAGTGCTCTCAAGCTGGCTCTGGTTTGTCAGGTGCAGCTGCTCGGGCTTTGAACATAGCAGGACCTCTAGGAAACACTTCTGGCTCCAAAACTCGAATCTCTCTGAGATGCAAGCTGAGGCCATGGACATGCTTTCTAAAGGAGATTATTTTTTCAACTGTAGGACAGAAGTCCTGGAAAGAATTGCATTCGCAGTGTGTGTAGCCAAGTGTCTTGGCTTAGGTTGGATGGTGTTGGAGATCCTTAGACACACAAGGAAGTATTTCAACAGCCTCTCTAGATTCAGGCTACCACCCTCACTGAAACCTGAAACAGAAAGAGAGGAGGAAGATACCTCGCACCTACCACCTCGGGCATAGCTAGTCCTCTGTCTAGTTCAACACGTATGAGGATGCCTCAGGAGCTCGAGTCTCAGCTGCCTCCTTTTCTACTTCAACCTCTGGGAACAGGTTGTTCTGTATTATTTTTTGGGGGGAAGAGGGGTTGTCCATCAGAGTGATTTCTTTGGACCATTGGGTCTCTGATCTTGTAAGCAAGGTTATTTGTTTCAAATCATAACTGAGAAACCTCAGATCGTCTTTCTTTTTCAAGAGTTGGTCTGATGAGGTTTCGCGGTAGAGAAAGTCAAATAAATTGCAAAATAGGAGGCTCAGAACAAATAAGGTGTCTTTGTCATGGAGCTTATCTGAGCTGTGAAATCGTTGCCCGAGGATGCTGTTGCTAGAATTTGCATAGGCTCCAAACTGATTGGACAAATTCATGGAAGGTCTTTTTAAATACACAGACATCCCTTTGAGTTCAGGAAATCCCTGAATCACAAATAGCTGGAAGATGATGGAGTGTTCTGGGGTCTATTGTAGTATCTTTGCCTTGTCTTTACGTTCTTCCAAAGGTGTCTGTTGTTGGTTGGTACCTTGGGGGGTGTTGGCCGAGGTGGACCTCTGCTCTAACTTGGTGCATCCGGTCTTTTGTTTGTCGTTAGGAGAGGAGTTGGTCCTTTCTGAAACTAGAAATGCAGAGGTACTGGAAGAAATGGGGGCCTGGACCCGACTCAGGTGTTTGAACTCATGGTTTTCTTGTGTGCTTTTGCATTTCATGAAGCAGAAGTGCAAGAAATATATTCACAATGACGTCTTTGCATGACTCACTAATCAGTTGTGGCTCCAAGAGTGCTTGAAAAGCG